ACCTTTTTCATCACCATAAACATTTTTCTCAATTTCAACCAAACACAACTTGTATTTTCCACACAATTATCCAATGAATTCTCATCATCCGTGTTCACCAAAGAAGGAGGAGTACTGTCACCAGTCTCAGAATAAGAATTCAAGTTAGAATGAACTATCATATTATTTTCATTGTACAAATTGGCATCGAAATCCTTGGAAACTGTATCATTACTATAGCTATCAGTTGGTAAAACATTAGACTTAATGTACAAATTATCGTCTACTACATCGCTATGAGTGGATGATATAGGCGAAAAGTTTTTACGTTGATAATCATTGTTGTACCTTAAAATTTGGTCTTGGTTTGGTAAAAACTCACCATCACCATCAGTTCTTGCAAAATCGTCACGTTGATGGTGATTCAACAAAGGTGCACTAATAAATTTATCGACTGTGGCCAAAAACGCGGTCAGATTACCGCCTCTGTCTTCCTGGATGTTAGGAACTGCTGGTACGTTGTTGGAGTCGTTAGAAATATCACTGAATTTATTTGAGTAGTGATGGTTGTTGGTTAGGAGTTTTAGGTTATCCATGGCGTACAGATTTGGGTTGAATTTTTGAGTTTCGGACGCTATTTCGTTTTTGGTGGCTTCAGAACTTTTGAGAAGGCTGCAGCATTCGAAGAACAAGGCTTCTTCTACACTCAGGGCTTTGCGGTTGTTCATATCTGATGTGGGATCAGGGATCGGTTGAGGAGGAGGTGGTAGTTGTTGGATTTCTGGTGGTGGAGGTAAAATTACTTCATCTGCGATGTTGTCATCAACTTGGTCAGGTTTGGCAACTTCAGGTAAAGCATCAACGTCTTTGTGAACCGGTGCATCATCACCTTTGGCTGGTGCATTATTACCATTGGCTGGTGCATCATCACCATTGGCTGGTGCATCAACTATCTTGGTTTCTTCTACTTCAATTTCAGCATCTTTTTCATTCTTTTTATTCAAAAATTCGATCTCCGACAACTTAGCAATATGCGTCAAAGTCATCTTGTGCTTGTTCAAGCTTTCCAAACGTTGAAAACTCTTCTTACAAATTTCACAATAGTTCAAAGCGTCAATTGGTTTAACAACCACAGGACTTGCTCGTGTATTTTTCTCCGTTTTGACTTGTGGCTTCACTTTTTTTTGAATTATACAGTATAGACTTCTTGTACCGCCGCTTTTTCTTGGATTTTATTATATCATACTTTAGAATAAAATCATTCGACGTGTTATTTTGATCCTGAGAACACGCGATACTGGTTTTATCATCGTCCAAAGGTTCTTCTGGTTTTAAAGGCTCATTTGTTTCTGGTTTTTGTTGCAAAGTTTTAGCAATAACTGCTAAACTTACATCTTCATCAGAATCAGTCTCAATGGTATCACCAGAGTTGTCAGGGACATGACTTGTAGTTGTATTGTCTAAAATGTTCTCGTTGGTTTCAACAGTTTCATCGCCGATTTTTGATAACAATGACTCTGTAAATATTTCGCTGTCTTCCATCAAACTGATTTGTTCGTCTGTACATTTTTGTTCATCAAAACTATCACATATTTGTATCTTGTCTTCAGTTTCTGGCAAAGCAAATTCAGGAGAAGTTGTTTTATTTTCAATAATAAATAGATTGTCATTAAGAGAAACTGGTTGGATTTCAGGTAATTCGTCATCGACAATATTTGATTTGATTTCAGCATCCAGTAAAGTTAAACTTGGTTCGTCAATATTGGTTACTATATCCTGGAATTCGTTGGTTTTAGATTTGCATATTCGTGGTGACATTTTACGTTCAACAACTTGTTTTTTAGGCTGTTTGCTCTTCTTGGTTTTTGCATTCTGACGTTTGGTCTTCCTTGTTTTTGATTGTTTGGTCTTGGGCTTAGCCTTGTCCAAAATGTTTGAAACAGCTTTATTTACTTGACTAATTTCACTAGATTTATCCTCCAATAATAAACTTGGTTCGTCGACACCTAAATCACTTTGAACATTGGTTTCAGAATTTGTATCCGCACTTGGTTGTTCATTTGCTTCAAGAAGTCCATTTACCATATCGTCTACTGATACCTTATCAGTTTCCAACACAGTTTTCTCCACAGGCAACGGTAAAACTTCATCCAGCCCAGCTTCTTTCTTCTCAGAATTTTGATTATCATCTTCCTTTTGTTTGCAAACTTTTTCAAAAATATTCACATCCGACGCCGACATAGTTTCCTCTTCAAAATGTGATTTACCACAATCCTTTACAACTTCCGGCTCGATTTTTGTCGATTCAGGTTGATCATCGTTCGAACTTTCAACAAAAATTTCACTCAAACACTTGCTGATAATTTTCCTGCTGCTTTCCTTCTTGAAACTGATTGTAATTTTCGGAGATCTCAAAACTGGTAATTCGTTTTCGATTGGAGACGTAGTAAAAATATCGTCTTTTGTAATGGAATGATCTGGTTTGGAAATGGACGTATCGTTGTTAAAAATCGGCGATGGTGATAAATTGTCTCGTATTAGTGGTTCTGGTGCATCAACTTTGGAATTTTCTGGTTCAATATGTTCCAATTGAGCATTATGTGATTTATCTAGACTTGCAGGTGCAAAATCATCCTCAAGTGCTACTTTATCATCATCATCAAAACTCTTAAAAAAATCATTTTGCACATTTGAGTCATTACTACCATCATCAAAAGGCATTGAAGACAAAACATCAGACAGGTTCTTCCTTCCCTTTTTATTTTTACCCAAAGTCTTTTTCATCCTAAATTTAATCTTCGGACTTTTCGACACGTACGGTTTCCTCTTCTCGCGTTTCCTGATAGGACTGACCTCGAATTCAGGAATTTTTAGAATGAATTTTTCAGGAGTTTTCGGTTTCCCTGAATTAATGTCTAAGGAATTTTTCTTCACATCATCACACAATAAAAATTCATTTAGATGCTCAGACTCTTTTAGGACTTCACTGATGTCGATATCGCTACCCAGTTTGTCGCCGACTGAATCATCTAAAGCTTTGTCTATATCCGATGATAAACTGTCGGAACGAAAATGAGGTTTTGTAAAATTTGTATCATTTAAGAAGGTATTTAAGTCCAATCTTACGTCGCGTTTGGTGGACGACAAATTTAGTGGATTTATATCATTCGACGGAGTAACTATATCATTCGACGGAGCAACTACATCATTTTTCAGAATTTTGTTGTCACTGAAATTTGACTTCACTGCTTCATTGATCTTGGGCTTAATGGCTTCCTCAGGGTTTATTTTGAACATTGACACTGTTGATAAATTGTTTTCTGGTGCAGAAACTTTAGGCAAGTTCTCACTTTCATTTATGATTGTTACAGAAACCTTCCATAGGTTTTCAAGTTCAATTGGGACAACTGGTTTTGGTGGCAAAATCGTGATTTCCCTGTTGCTTAATATTTCATCTGGGACAACTGGTTTTGGTGGCAAAACTGAGATTTCCCTGTTGCCTAATATTTCATCTGGGACAACTGGTTTTGGTGGCAAAACTGAGATTTCCCTGTTGCATAAGATTTCATCTGGGACAACTGGTTTTGGTGGCAAAACTGAGATTTTCTTGTTGCTTAGTATTTCTTCTGGGACAACAGGTTTTGGTGGAAACATTGAGATTTCCTTCTTACCTAGTATTTCATTTGGGACAATAGGATTTGATGGCAAAACTGAGATTTCCTTCTTACTTAGTATTTCATCTGAAACAACAGGATTTGGTAGAAAAACTAAGATATCCTTGTTGCTTAGTAATTTATCTGAGACAACTGGTTTTGGTGGCAAAATAGAGACTTCCCGGTTGCTTAATATTTCTTCTGAAACAACAGGATTTGGTGGAAAAACTAAGATATCCTTGTTGCATAATATTTCTTCTGGGACAACAGGATTTGGTGGCAAATCTGATTTTTCCTTATTGCATAATAATCCTACCAAAGGCACCTTCAAATCTGTAACAACTCTGGATTTGGTTGCAGAATCTTCAAGGGGTTGCAAATTTGTAGTTTCAGTATTTGTTTCATATAATTTTGTTGAAAAATCTAGAATTGGTGGTGTTGATTTCTGTTTTGGTGTTGATGTACTGCAAACTGGTGTTGGTACCTTTTCTGGTGTTGATTTCTCTTCTGGTATTGATATTTTTTCTGGTGCTGATGTACTGCAAACTGGTATTGATATTTTTTCTGGCGTTGATGTACTGCAAACTGGTATTGGTATCTTTTCTGAAACTAATTTCTGTTCTGGTGTTGATGTACTGAAAACTGGTATTGAAATCTTTTCTAATGTTGCTTTCTCTTCTGGTATTGATATATTTTCTGGTGTTGACTTCTGTTCTAGTATTGGTATCTTTTCTGGTGTTGTTTTCTCTTCTGGTGTACTGCAAATTGATGCTTGTGAGCTGTTGAATATATTAAAAGAACCGGCACAACTTTCTGATAATTTAGAATGCAACTTATTGGTCAACATTGCTATGCAATCAGTCAACTTTTTAGACCGTCTTTTCGGTGTTTTGCTCGGAGTGTTTGGAATCCCAGTTGGAGAAATTTTGTTTGGAGTTGCTGCTGCAGACAACTGTGGAGTCTCAGATATAGTTGCATGAGTTGTTTCTTCAATTTGCTTCTGATCTGGTTTCAATATTGGTGATATTTCTTCAGGTATTGATACTTGCGGTACTTCTTTTGTACTAGTATCCACTGTTTCATTACCAACTAGTTCATCAATAATTGATGCTTTCACTTCATCCATGGGTACATCCTGAACTTCATCCACAGACTCAGGTACTAACAATTGCTGAGATTTCACCTCAGCAGACACTGCACAATCACCAATTGTCGACAAATCCTTTATGGGACCTGTTATTGTAACCGGACTTTCACCATTAATTTCAGGAACATCCAAGATCAATGGTGCAAAATTTAATTTCAACCTCGATGGAGCCAAAGGACGTGGTGCCTTCTTGGACTTAACCACAACAGGTGATAGAACAGGACAAGTTTCTGTACTCTTACCACTGGAAATAGGCGATACAATTTTTAATTCAGGCATTTGTTCAGCATCAGATGTTTTAGATTTCTTCTTATTGGCTGGTTTTTTAATGACTGGTGCTTTTGGTTTTACCAATTTAACTGCAGGTTTTCTTTTAGGTTTGCTCAATGGTTTGGAAATAATTTTGGCAAGTGGTACATCATCACTTTTGCTGTCTGAATCATCACCATCAGGAAGAACCAAGGGTTCTGCAGATACCACACTTGTTAATAAAGAAATTTCTGTGGTTTTTGTGGTTTTATCATCATCAACATCAGCTGCTATGGTTGATGTTGTTACATCCAGTTTTTCAGCAAGACTTGCGGGCGTAGACAAATCTTCCACGATAAATTTTGGAATTGGTAACTTCTTGGGTTTAACTTTTTTGTTCTTAATGTCCTTGCTGGTTTTAACAATTTTCTTTACTTGCTTAGGCTTAGCAGTCAAAACTTCTGTAGGTGACTTGGAATCTTTAGAACTCTCATCTGTATTTACAATATCTATCGGTGTATCAGTCTTGTCCTCATCAACAGTAGTTGTCTCTGGCTTCTGTACAATTTTTGCACCTTTTTTACTCACCTGCTTCTTTTTCTTGCTACTTACATCACTTTCAACAGTCACATCACTCAATAAAACACCTTCTGCACTTTCTACTGTACTTGGTTTACTTTTAACAACCTTACTTTTCAAAACAATCTTCTTACCATCTTTATCACTCAACACTTTTGACTCCACCGACTTGTCCTCTGTCTCTCGTTTAACACTTTCACCATCACCGTCCTTCTTCACAACTTTCTTAACACCTTTACCAGATGTCCTGGCTGTACTGGATGTCCCTGTATCATTTTTCACAATTCTATTCCTGTTGGCATGTTGCTGTTTAGCGTTCTTGAGTCGTTGCAATTCAGTCCAGGTGTGTTTGTGTCCTGACCCAATCAGGAAAGGTCTACTTCGGCTTGATCTCATATTGTTGGAGACCAGTATCGAGTGTCTGGGGTTTGATTTTTGAGGTTTGTGCTTCTGGTTTTTGTTGAGCGGTCTCTGGACAGGTTTTGGTAATGGCATGACGTGCTTGGTTAGACGTTTTGCTGGTAGATTTGCCAACATCCTTTGAATTGTTTCCGCTAGAAGAGGAAAATTGTAATAGATTAGTAATAGTTATAAATTGTTTCAAGTATTTATTCTGTTTGGTAAATTTTTTGGCACTTTAGTGAAGTAAAATTATAGCTTGGTGAATTTCTTACATTAATTTCTTTGTAGTAAGAAATGAGAAATGAAATGAATATAAATACAAATAAAAATGAAAGAAAATGACTTAGCTCAAATAAACTTATTATGATAAAGATAAAACAATGTGTAATTATAGAAAATAGTAAAATTAAATAGCAAACAATGAGAGCAAAATGTTTTCTGTTCGTTTTAAAAACAATCTCATTCAAATTATTGTTGATATGTTTAATGCACCAATAACATTAAACAAATATTTGCAATTGTTTCTTTCAAATTGTTTTGATTCCAAGTGTAATCAGAACAATCATAACTTTATGAATGTTAAAAGAATAAATTTATATTTATTATATTTATATTTTATGAACGCTAATTCATATATAAATATATATAGACTTTAGTTGATTATTACAATATGGAATTTATCTCAGATATTTTAATGATCAAAATAATATAGAAATCCGCGTTTCAACAATTTTTAATTAAAATTCTAATATCCAAACGTTATAAAACATTTTGCCTAAAATTCAGTAAATTTTATCTACTTTTAAATAAAATTTTTAATGCATAGGGTCCGAAACAAAATTTTCAAATTATATAAAAAATTGTTAAAAAATGTCCTGAATTTTTATATAGAATATAAAAATTAAGTTTATTTTAAATACTGATATCTAAGTGTTATATAACATTTTGACTAAATTTTAGTAAATTTTATCTAGTTTCAACTAATGTAATTATGTGCATTATGTTCGAAACGAAATTTTGAATTATATAAATAAATGTTAAAAAAATGTCCTGCATTTTCATATAGGATATAAAAATTAATTTTATTTTAAATTCTGATATCTAAGTGTTATATAACATTTTGACTAAATTTTAGTAAATTTTATCTAGTTTTAACTAAAGTAATTAGTGCAAAGTGTCCGGAACAAAATGTTCAAATTATATAAAAAAATGTTAAAAAATGTACTAAACCTGCATATAATGCTAACTAGAAGAATGTAAAATTAATTTTGTTTTTTAAATTTAATTTTAATATCCAAGTGTCATATAGAACAATTTTTACTAAATTTTAGTAAATTTTATATATTGCAAACTAGAATAATATAAAATTGATTTCATTTAAAATGTTATCTAAGTGAACCAAATTTTCGAATTATTTAAAAAAATGTTAAAATGAAGTCCTAAATCTGCATGAACTAAAAACCAGAAGAATATAAAATTGATTTAATCTAACTGTAATCTAAAATATAAAATCTTATCTAACTGTTATACATTAGGGTTTTTACTAAAATTTAGTAAATTTTATCGAGTTTTAACTAATGTAATTAGTACATTCTGTCAGAAAAATTTGCAAATTATTTTGAAAAATGTTTAAGATATATTAATGCTAACTAAGAGAATATAGAACGAATTATATTTAAAGATTTAATTTCCGACTTAATCAAAAGCAGTTTTGACTAAATTTTACTAAATTCTATGTAGTTTTAACTAATGCAAATACAGCATGGTGTCCGAAAAGAAATTTGCAAATTATTTTAAAAAAATGTTAAAAAATGGCCTAAATCTCTACAATGTAAGCTAACAAAATGTAAATTTAATTTCATTTTAAATTTTAATATCCAAGTTTATAAAAAAAACAGTATTTACTGCATTTTAGTAATTTTTATCGAGTTCTAACTAATGCATAATGTACGAAACAAAATTTTCAAAATTATAAACAAATGTTAAAATAAATACCAAATCTCTATATAATGCTAACTAGAAGAATGTAAAATTAATTTTGTTTACAATTTTAATATCCAAGTGTTACATAACAATATTTACTGAATTTTAGTAAAAATTGTCTAGTTTTTAGTAATGCAATTAGAGCAGTGTCCAAAAAGGATTTTTAAGTTCATAAAGAAATGTTAAGAAAAAAATATCATGAATCTCCATAAACTACTAACTAAAAGAATATAAAATTGATTTCATTTAAGATGTCTAATATCTAAGTGTTATATGAGGGTTTTTACTAAAATTTTTAAATTTTATATAGTTTCAACTATGATTAGTGCATTCAATCCGGAATAAAATTTTCAAAAAATATAAAATATGTTGAAAATGTTCTAATTCTCCACATATTGCAAATTAGAAGAGTATAAAATTTATTTTATTGTTATATGAGAATTTTTACTAAAATTTAGTAAATTTTATCTAGTTTCAACTAATGCAATTTGAGCATAGTGCTCAAAACGAAATTTTCAAACTCTATAAAAAAATTATTAAAAAATCTCCATATAGTGCAAACTAAAAAAATATATGTACAACTATTTTTATTTTAAATTTTAATACCCAAACTCATCAAAAACGCTTATTACTGAATTTCAACTCGGTTTTTAAATAATTTAATAGTTAGTGCAACGAACTTTTTAAACTATTAGAAGAAATATAAAATAAATGTTGGAAATCTCACACAAATTTAAACATCTACAAAAAAACATGTTTATTATTTTTTTTAGATTAATTGTGAAAATTCAATTTATTCAAAAATCCAGGATTTATCTATTAAATTTTTATAAAAATTTAAACAAAACACTTCTTAAACAGGCATCCAACTAGAAATAGAAAGAGAATTAAACTGCAAAATATAATTTGAATTCATTTCCATACATTATAAATCCCATGTCTTGAAAGCATCTTTCCATAAAATATATAACAACTATAATTCCCTAACCCCGATAAAATATTCCGACAAATTCTTTATTCACCACATATAAACTATAAATACATTAAATCATCAATCACATAAACATCTCTTTACATCCATTACATTCACCCGTTGACTACATAATATGCAACCTCATATACGTACCATCACTTGGTTTAACTCTGGGCCCAGACTTCTTCTTCACCTTCCGTCTCAGTTTCTTAACAATAGCCCCTGAGGAATTACCATTTCCATTATTCTGTCTCCTCGAAGGCTTGCATCCGTTCAACCTAGCCCTTCTCCTTCGAGTACCAAAAGGCCTATACCTGGATTTCTTCTTCGACAACAACCAAGCATCACCTGCACATTCTAATAAATGCCTGTAAAAGTCTTCGCCTTTCAAATCTGTCTTGCACTTTGTACACTTTGTATATGAACTGTGGCTTTTTACATCTGGTTTTACTTGTTCGATATTAAGTTTCTCGTCTATTAAAAGTTTGCCAGTGTTTTGAGAGCCTGGTAAATGGAATAAACGATACACTTCACTGTTGATCATGTCTTTGCCCACGATTTCGTAATAGGTTGAGTATATATAAGCGTGTTCTGAAGTCTTGTGATCTTCCAGTTCTTTGAGAGTGTTTAGTTTTTTACCACAGCCGACACAGACGTAACACCTAGGCCTTGCCCATTCACCGCTTAAAAACACTTCTAAAGAATTAACCATTGTTTGTACTTCTGAGGATCTATTCTTGGCTTCTAACTGCAGGTACTCCGATATCAGCAATGATTCGCTTGATGGTTCCAAAGGATTAGTAGGTGTAATAGGAATTGCTGATATATCGATTTTGTTGTCTACAGGTTCTACAATAACAGTTTCAACGTCTTCTGTTTTAATTACAACTTCCACATCACTTTTAGTGTTGGCTTTGGCTAAATTTGCACAAATGTCATTAATCCTACTAGATTTCCTACGAACTTTTGTTTCATTCTCAGTTTTTTCCAAAGCGCGTACGTCAGGTTTAACTTCCTCAAATTCCTGCTCCAAATGTAACTTCGGAAACAACCTGGTATCAAGTATGGAATTCAATTCATTCAGCAAACGTACTTTTTCATTTCTGATATTATTCTCTATTATTTCTTCCTCCGTATTACTTTCACCAGCTTTAATCCGTTCGGTGTCGTACTTACTTTTCATAGTCAACTGTGTCCACATATCCAATTTGGATAAGTCTCTGGTGCCTTGGCAAGACGGTTTGATTTTTTTCACCATTTTACCGTTTTCGTTATAATATTTGTACTTTTTAACGAAATCGAACTTCCACTTCCATGAGTTTTTCGTGGCTTTCTTGCGCGGCAGTTTTAGGTTGCTGAAAGGACCGGCTCCGTACTGTTCCGAGGTCAAAAGAGTAGGAAATGAGCTGATCGAGGATAGATTTGTATTTGATTCGTGTATCCTTACTTTATTCTCGTCCCTCAGCAATGGCAGTGTTGAGCTATCCAGGTCTGGCTCCTCAGTCTTACTCATTCCCGGTATGTTATTCATTTTTCCATCCAAGTAACGCGCTAAATTTTCACACACGTTACTAGTCACGTTTTGGTAAAAGTCCTTATCAAATCTACTGTCAAATAATTCATTTTTCGAATTTATGTTTTTGTTTATAACGAACTCTTGCGGTTCTTGCGTGAAAGTCTTCGATTTGTTACTCTGTTTTTTATCAGAGTTAAGTGGCGACTTTAAATCGCCGCTTTTACGACTTTTGGACGTCTGTTTCTTACCACCAGGAGAACGATTCTGAGTAATACCCAATCGCGACAACATCGGCTCATTCTGCGGCGTATCTCCTGTTGTGTTCCCAGAAGATGTACCAGATCTCTGCAACTTCGTCCTAACCGGTTCCGTAACCACAATCTTCGGATTGACTTTGGGTTCTGCCAGAGACACGATGTTCACGGCTATGTTCTGTTCAAAATCTACCGCGTCCGGGATTGCAAATTCGCCAACAGTCCTCGCCATGTCTACTTTTTGCCCGTGCGCGTCTGACAGATGAGCATTCAAAATTTCACTAGAGGGAAATCGCACTGTACATTTGGTGCATGCAAAGTATTTGTCCCCGTGTCTTTCGGACATATGCAAAAATAATTGTTTCAGATCGACGCTCCTGGCCAAGGCAGTGTGCTCCGTTGAACAAAATCCACAGCCGATGAAATCTGATTTGGAATTCGAGACATTTCCACGCCCGCTGGAACGCCTGCTGGGATTATCCTTGTGTACTCGTTGGACGTGCCGAATTTGCAAAGATGCTGTAACGAAAGATCGTTCGCAGTAGAGGCAAAGGAAACGTTTTGGGATGTTTTGACATCAGAATTGACGGGGACGACGCATCCGTACCGGCGGATGGCACTTGAGGCATAATTTTGATGGAGTTCAGCTGTTTCACAGGTTTGCTCTCGGGTTCTTCTAGCAACAATTTATTAACGGGTTTAATTTTGTGTAAGATGCGAGTCAGTTTACTTAAAGGCAGTTTGCAGCGCAAACTGATCTCTTGGTGAGTTGACACCACAGTCATGGATTTTTCATTTTGTTCACAGCTCGTGGTTTCAACTTGATTCGTCATGGTTTCGTCTACCTTAATCGATTCGCTTTTATCGCTAAAGTTTTGTTGACTTTCGCTTTCGCTTCTTAGATTTAGCATTATCATTTGTTCGTTTGGACGTCGCGCTCTTCACATTTTTGGAAACAGTTTCTATATCTAGTGACGGACTGGATTGCACATTGCTCTTTGTTGACTTCACATTTTGCTTCTTTTCTGGAGACTTTTTGCCGCTGCGTCGGACGACTTTCTTTTCAACTTTCTTTATCACTTCGTCATTTGATGGCGTATCAAGGCACAAGAAGAATTAAGCGTGGAAATATCACTTTTGCAGCAAGTTTTACTTCAATGTCGACAGACGGCTTCGTTTCACTTACACCAATAGTCTTTTCTAACTGAGCATTTGAATCTTCAGAAAGATCTTTAGTGGCTATCAGTTCTTTAACCTTGGATAAAGGTTGATCATCGATAGGAAGATCGTCTTTGTCGTCGACAACTGGGGACTGGGATTCTGGTTTCTTTTTAGACTTTGCATGTGTTTTCTTGCGTACTAGTTTTGGTTTCAGTTTACTCCCGGGTGCAGTATGTTTTACAAATTTTTTCACGACTGTCGCTTTCTTAGGTTTCTTAACGTTCTTTTTATCGACTGGTAAACTAACAATTTCAGAAAAGTCAACAGGTGTATTTGAAAGTATACTAGGTGAAACCAACTCTTCATTCTTGGCGTTTTGTTGCTTCTTAACATTTGGCTTATTTTTTCTCGAACCATTCGAACTTTTGATTAGTGATTTACCTTTTGCTGTTGATTTTTTCTTTGTCTTATTAGCAACCGTTTTGGATAATTTGACTAAACTTATTTTACTACAATCCTCAGTAGATGTCTCCACCAGAGCCTCATCATGCTTCACATCCTGCTGATTGCCTAAACCAAAGTTCGCTAATCCCTTATCAGGTGGTATAGCTTCCATGCATTTGGCGTCCTCCAGCTGATCCTCGGTGGTCCCATGATCTGCAACACTACCACCCACTACCGGCGGTAAAGAGGCTTCCAGACCCTGCAAGGCATCTTTAACCAAACTCGGACTATTACCACTTTTACCACTTTTACCACTTTTACCACTTTTACCACTCTGATCATTTTTCCTGCTGTCGTCGTCCTCTATCACAGTGGCGTAGTCGATGACGGCTCCGAGCGATGCCGGATCGTCGTCGTTGGGCAGCCGTCCGGCATCGAGCAAGGGCAGACAGTCCGGATCGGGCTCCCTGATGACGCTGGCGTCCGCAGAGTCTGACCTTCCGTCGACGGACGCCGTTGTCGTTTGGCTGAAGCAAGCCGACCCGCTGCGGTGCACCATGCCGACTGCTTCTTCTTCACTGGAAGAGGAAAATGATATATTAAAATTACATAACAATAAGGCGGAGACATTCTGTAAATAGTCCAGTCATTTGGTCGTTTTGCCGGTACAGTACTCCGGGAATTCTGAAAATTGGTAATCTTATAGATTTCGAGGTGCTCTTTACGAAAATTAACTTTGCCACCTCAAATTTGAACGACAAGTTGCCGCCATATTGGAAAAATGGCGTCAAAAAACAGCTTTTTTAAAATATCTCCTTTCTGGCTCATTCTACGATAAAAGTATCTATGTAGAAATTAAACTAGATAAAATTTCCTACAATTCTTTAGAAAACCGTTTTTTGTAAAATTGATGGTTTGAGAGTACGGCCGCCTCAAAGTCTTTGCTGCTCTCGCCGTAGTATCAAATCTTTTCATATATGACAGCACTTTGAACTTGACCACATTCCTTCTAATAAATAAATATTTTCAATGTTAAATTAAGCGAATAAGATCTAAAAATAAAATAATTCAAATATTTTTCTGTTTTTTTGCTGATTTTTTAACACTTCAAGCTACTTACTTATAGCTACTTTGCCACTGAAGTGTTAAAAAATCAGCAAAAAAAACGAAAAATATTTGAATTATTTTATTTCTAGATCTTATTCGCTTAATTTAACATTGAAAATATTAATTAGTAGAGAGAATATGATTAAGTTCGAAGTGCTGTCATATATGGAGAGATTTGATACTACGACGAGAGCAGCAAAGACTTTGAGGCGGCCGTACTCTCAAACTATCAATTTTACAAAAAAAACGGTTTTCTAAAGAATTGTAGGAAATTTTATCTAGTTTAATTCGTACATAGATACTTTATCGTAGAATGAGCCAGGAAGGAGATATTTTAAAAAGCTGTTTTTTGACGTCATTTTTCCAATATGGCACCTCGAAATCTATAAGATTATTAATTTTCAGAATTCCCGGAGTACTGTACCGGCAACAGCCTATTTTGCACCAAATGACTGCACTATTATAACTTATTTATTTTGTAATTGTAAAAGATAAAGTGCATACATTTCGAGTCCCCATCTTCAGTTAATAGGACTTAGGATTATTAACACACAAGTTAATAGGATAAAATGAAATAAAATAAATCAAAATAGTAGCCATAGATGAAGTATAAGACATGTGAAGGAAGAAAATAAAACGCAGAGCACTTTTTACTATTTTTATTATATATCAATTCATAAATCACGATTAAGTTCCATTACGCCTACTAAATACTATAATTTAAGAAATAGTGCGTGCAATAAACTTATTCCCAATATATATGTATACATTCCCTATCCGTATCATATTCCTGCAACATAAGTCACTGGTGGTCAACTACTGCCATCGATGTGAGACGACTTAAAATTTTAATTCGTATACATTAGTAAATGCTAAAAAAACGAAAATTTAGTATACACTTATAAAATGTAATTTTGAATAAAAATTGTTGGAACATTTACTTTTTGGTAATATATTTAACAATATGTAAGTTTTGTTTGTTGTTGTTGTTTTTTGTTTTTTTAAAAAAAACTTGTTTTTTTAAATTCTTTGAATAACTTGGAAATTTTGACCCGGCAACTGTTATATATGCTTGGATATTAAAAATTTAAATAATTCGTAGTTGAATTACAAACTTTTGATTTTCAAATAAAAAATCCGAAATTACTATTACAAATACAGAATTGATCGATCGGTTGAATGGTTAGAGTGAAAGTAAACATTTTCTTTGTAATCCACTTCAACTGGAACGACCAGAGTGTTTTCATCTTTGAGTAAAAATCGCTGGATCAAAATTTGGCAAACCAATGTTGACACTGCTGTTTTATCAAGCCTTTGTCACTAATAAAAGAGCTCATACTTTTTGGGAGTTTGAGATGCTCCTTTTACATTTGCAGAAAGGAAAAGTATAATATTTTAAGCAAGAATTTTAATTATAAGCAAGAATTTTCAATTTTATCAATTTCCCGTACGTAGAGTATAAGTTATAGTAACCGCAAAAATATCGAATGTAAAAATTTTTGCATACTTTCAACGTTTCAAAGGTTTCAGAACATTTTGGCATACCTTAAAAAAAGGATGTATGTGTGTGTTGGATACAATTAGTAAAATACTACCACGATTCCGAGACCACAGATCAACCGATTAGCATGATTCAAAAAACATTCGATTCTCATTGATAGGCAGACATGCTTATTAGTTTTTTGCAAAGGCAGGTCTAGCCGTTTCGAAGATACAAGTCAAAAAGTGCCAAAAGTGGTATTTGTGTTTTTAAGAGAATGGAGCGTACAATTTAAATGATTCAAAAAACGTTTCATTTGTATTGACGAAATGAAGAAATGATTAAGTTTTTGTGAAGTTAGGTCTAGCGATTTCGGATATCAAGTAAAAAAGTAAAATAAATGCGATTTATCTGGCATAAATGATGATCAGAGATATCAACATGTTCCTAAAATTAACTATGATCATTAGAGATATCAACATGTTCTTAAAATTAGCTATGATTATTCCGAAAATTCCCAAACATCTATGTTTTCAAAGATTTAAACAAAATTTTAACTTTTTTCAAAAAAAATTAATATTCGGTACGGAAGTACCAGTAAGTTGCCTTAGAGGGCGTCCATTAATTACGTGAGCTTTTAAGAATTTTTAGAACCCCCCTCATCACCGAACACTACGTGTATTTTTACGTGATAAAACTGTATATATATATATATATATATATATATATATATTTGAAAATGTTTGAATTTTTTTTTAGAAAAACCAGTTAAAAAATAAACACACGTGATATCTTACTACATTCCTCCCTAACCTACGTAATATTTCGTGATTTTTTGTCAAAACCCCCCTCCCCCTAAAAACCTCACGTATAATGAACGCCCCCTATAAGGCACGATGTCACACATCACTAGTTTTTTTTATAAACCAAAAGGTAATTAGAAGAAAAATGGAAAGTTGGATAATGATGATGCTTGAAAGTTGATAAAAAGTCAGTGATTAGAATAGACAATACATTAGAGAATAAAGTTGTGTAGTTCTACGAATAAAAGTCTGATTTTCTAACAAAAATCCGCGATTACTTAGTTGCCAATGTAAAAGATTCGTATGTTTTCGTAAAAAATCGAAAATAAAAATTTTTATCTGTACGTTTTAAAGGTTTCTGAACATTTTGGCATACATTAAAAAATGGATTTGTGTATGTATGTATGTATGTATGTATGTATGTATGTGTGTGCGAATACAATTTTTTGTCGACGATTACGAGAACACAGATCAATCGATTAGAATGATTCAAAAAACATTCGATTTCTATTGATAAGGGGAGATGTAGTATGTAGTAGACGATAGAGGAAGCATATTTCGTAATTTTTCAAATTATTATAATCCCTGACCCTTCCCTTGCCCACATATGCTGTGCAGTCTGTCGGCATATCGATCCCTTTCGCTTCCGCGGAGCCACGAGCGAGCGATCCGAACCGCCTCATCCCTCTCGCACCGCCGCCTCGCGCTCTAGCCCGAAAAGCGGCAGAGGTAGAGAGGTATATAGAGAGTCGTCGAGCGCGGCACATCTGTAGGGGCGGCGGAAAAAGGGGTGCCGGCAATAGGGGAGAACGGGAATCACCAACGCTCGTGTGTACAAAGAGCCGAAAAAAGAAACGGGAGAGGAGGGCTGCCGAGTGCTATTGCGAGTGCGAGTGCGAACGCCTTCCGGACGGAACAACCGATTGTGTAAGTCTTCTCGACACTTGCGACCGACTTGTTGGTTGGTTGCCGCCGTTTGATGGTACAAATTGGAATGAAGAATTACAAATCAGTCGGGATTTTTTTTATTTAATTTATTCTGCACTATGTTTTACATAGGCATTAAGATTGAGCAGAGATTGCTAACAATAACTATCTTATAATATAAACAAGAAGATAATAGCAACACCCAGCGGCGTGTCTACTATATAGGTATATAGGTATAAATCAGTCGGCAATGATAATTTGATTTTATATTGGGAATGGAAATTAATATTTAGTTACAAAGCTATAGTTTAGGTAACTAAAAACAATAATAGAAATCACATTTAATTACCATATGTGGTTATTTGTTTGAACAAGCAACCAGAACAATATATGTTCATCTATGAGCTGTTCTGATCACCAGTTAACTGTGATAGATAAATTTACTCGTCAAAGACAAGTTGCAAAATTTTGTGCATTGATGAGTATATTCATCATGCATATACAACAGTGGCCAAAGGCCATCTAAATTGCAATTTTTTAAGGAAAAAATCAAAAATATTCTGACATGTACAGTTGTTTATAATATTTTGATGCTGTAGATGTATAAAAAAGCATTTGTATGTGGCATTACACCTTTTACGAAATTGGAAATGAAATACTAAGTCAATAAGGAATAAGAGTTAGCCATTTAAATAAGATGTAGTACAGCTTATTTCAGAAATAGTTTTTGCTTTTCATCAAAAACTATTCGTGCTTTCTCGAATTGAATTATTTCAAGGTAAACTGGTTTAAGGTACCAGTTTACCTTTGTTAAAGTACATATTACACACATGTAATATGTACTTTAACAAAGAAGTTAAATTTTTAGATATCAGATAAAGATATGGATTTATTATTGATGCCAAACAATTAAGATAATCATTTATTTTGTGTATTTTGCTGATATTGTAATCCCAGTGAATAAGTGGTTAAATCAATTTTCCAGAGCACGCATTATAAAGATTAAAATTTTTGGAAAATCAGATGTTCGAAATCAATCGTTGAAATTTTGTCACAAATCCTTGAATGTTGTTTATTGTCGGAGGAAGAGTTGATTCTGCAGCTCCTCTGCAACTTAATTCATTTTGGACAAACTTCGACTTCGAGGAATATAAAATGTTTTCAAATAGATCATTATAAATAATGTAATAATGTTATTGTAAAAAAATTAAGTGGGCTTTAAAATTTTATCTCAAATGAAAACTCCGAATTATTTTTCAAT